GTTCCCTTGAGAAAAGCATCATTCAAAGGAATCTTGAACAAACAAAAGGCATTTTGGGCGACCACTGAAGCGGAATTAACATAATTAGTCAGAGATGAAACATGAAATAAATTAAAACCGAAAAGCACATGTTTAGAGGCTGAAATCATGAGAGACTGTATCTTAACCCTTGAGAATAAAATCAAAGGAATTTCAAACAAACGTTTCGCGCTTGAAGTAAAGATTTAACTTCATTTACAAACACTGCAAATCGCTCCTAATTCAACAATTATAGTTGTCTAAGCGGGTTTCCAATAGCGCCAAAATAAATCACTTACATCAAACATAGTCCTTTCCTCCAAAGCGTCCCACAACTAGCAATCGCTCAACTCCATAGCCACGAAGACAGTAAAGAATGTTACGCTTAGAAAAGAGGACCTGTGCTGAACGTTGTCACAAGTAAAATGAACTCTAACAAGACCGATTGACTTATAAACTCGCAAAACAAAACAAAAACAAAAACAAAGAGTCTGAGTCTTTGCAACGTTTATTGAATAACGATAATAAAAACAATAACATGAACTCCGAAAGAGAATTGATTACAATTTTTAACTCTTTAACTCTTGACCGTCGGTATTCCANATTTCAAACAAACGTTTCGCGCTTGAAGTAAAGATTTAACTTCATTTACAAACACTGCAAATCGCTCCTAATTCAACAATTATACTTGTCTAAGCGGGTTTCCAATAGCGCCAAAATAAAACACTTACATCAAATATCGTCCTTTTACTTCAAAGCGTCACACAACTAGCAATCGCTCAACTCCATAGCCACGAAGACAGGGAAGAATGTTACGCTTTAGAAAAGAAGACGTGTGCTGAACGTTGTCACACCACCACCACCATTACATTTACCACCACCACCACCACCACATTTACCACCACCACCATCACATTTACCACCAGCAGCACCACATCCACCACCACCACCTACACCACCACCACCACCACATCCGCCACCACCAACACCACCGCCACATCCACTACCACCACCATCACCTACACCACCACCATCACCTACACCACCACCACCACATTTACCACCACCACCACCACCACATTTACCACCACCACCACATCCACCATCACCAACACCACCACCACATTTACCACCACCACCACATTTACCACCGCCACCACCACCACCTACACCACCACCACATTCACCATCACCGCCACCACATTCACCACCACCACCGCCATCGCCCCCACCGCCGCCACCTCCTCCTCTTCTACCTCCTCAACTCCTCCTCCTCCTCAAGTCCTTTGTTTTCCCTTTCTTCCAGGATCGTAACGATCAACTAAATCATTAATAATTATTTGCCAAGAATAAGGAACGGATC